TTATAGAAAATTGAAACATTATAATAATTTAATATGTTACATTTCATTATTTATGTTCCTTTTATTAATATAGATACTTTTATTTTATACTACATATTGGAATATGTAGCATTGTCTCAAAAAAATAGTTTAAAGAGAATTTCTTTAAAAATTATAATTTAAGATAGTACTTGACTATGTTGTCGATATATTTAATACATATAGAACATTTAACCTGTAACTACTATAAAACATCTGTGAGACCGTTCTAAATTTGTACTTATTTTTATTGCCGTTTTTGCATTTCTGATTTTATACGATTTATGTACCTGTGAATTAGAGTTTAATATCCAATTACTAAAATAAATAAATAACCGTAATAAACATTAACAGTTTGTAAGATCTTTTATAATAGGAGTGTAAGTTTGAACATTTATAGTATTTATAAATTACAAATTAAGTCAAATTAAATGTAATAACAATAAAAAAACATTTTACTGAATGAGTATTACTTTTTGGATTGTGACAAATAATGAATGAAAGATGGCGGACTCAGCGGGTAATTGGTGTCCTATTGAAAGCGATCCTGGTGTTTTTACAGAATTAATCAAAGAATTTGGTAAATTTTTATCAATTTTATATAAGTTTATTATACATTGTAATTGTTATTTAAAAAATAATTCGCATTTATTTATATTAACAAGAAGTTTTTGCAGTAATTGTTTTGTTCCTTTGTACCATGTATTCTTTTTTATTTTCAAGTATTTATAATTTGTATAATCATGTTACATTTGTTTGTAGGTGTCAAAGGTGCTCAAGTGGAAGAATTATGGAGTTTGGATGATGAACAGTTCGACTCATTGAAGTAAGTGTAGATTATTTATTGTATCTAACATAACCTAATTATTATGTAGTTTACGTAGTTTACAATACATTTCAACGAAATTAACGATTTGTTTGAATGAAGTTTTAAATATTAATAGCATGTAAAGCAAATAGTGATAATGTGTATCAAATTCTAGTAATTCAATAAATATTTCCAATACTGTATATAAATAAAAAATATTATAGATAATAAAAATATTTTGTATTTTATAATAATTTATTACAATACTTTTTAGGCCTATACATGGTTTAATATTTTTATTTAAATGGGTTCAGGATGATGAACCCTCAGGAAGTATTGTTCAAGACAATAGATTAGATAAAATTTTTTTCGCAAAGCAGGTAAGTATTATAATTAAATAGAAAAAATATTTATAAATTTCTGTATTTCTTAATATTTTAAGGTGATTAATAATGCATGTGCAACACAAGCAATATTAAGTGTATTATTAAATTGTAAACATTCCGATATATCATTGGGACCGAATTTGGAGGAATTCAAAAACTTTTGTCAGAGTTTCGATGCTAATATGAGAGGACTTGCTCTTAGTAATTCTGATGTAATAAGAGAAGTACACAATTCTTTTTCAAGGTATACTTAGTTTCTTTACGTAAATTTTCTACATATATTGATAAATATGTCTGTTTTGTATTATATAAAATAAATGTCACTTGTTGCAGGCAAACGTTGTTTGAATATGATTCAAGAAAAGCATCTAAAGATGATGATGTATTTCATTTTGTTAGTTACATTCCAATTGATGGTCGATTGTACGAGTTAGATGGGCTAAAAGATGGACCAATGGACCTAGGTCCATGTCCACTTGGAGATCAATGGGTTCAAGCAGCAAAACCTATAATACAAAAACGAATAAATAAGTAGGTATTTTAGGTGCTTATTTTGTTTTACCCTATTTCATGTGCAAATTATGTATTCTTGTAGATACAATGAAGGAGAAATTCATTTTAATTTGATGGCTATAGTAACTGACAGAAAAACACTTTATGAACGTCAGAAAGCTAATGTTTGTGATCCAGCAGAATTAGAATGTTTACAGACATTAATAGAAAAAGAAATTAAAAAGTCCAAAAGATACCAGGTGGAAAATATCAGAAGAAAACACAATTATTTGCCACTGATAATGGAATTACTTAAAATGCTTGCTAAAGATGGAAAACTTGTACCCTTGTATCAAAGAGCAAAGGAAAAGGCATTGGAAAAAGAATCAAAAAAAAATAATGTATAAAGTTTAATGCTGGGATTGGATAAAAAAAAGTCGATATGAAATATATTTATAATATATATTGAACGACTAAATTGTAATTTCTCTTTCAAAATAAATGTAAATATCAAAAATGGTTTTCATTATGAATTAAAAGAAAATGTATTATTATTTTTAAGTTATACGCTGGAAATTTCGGAAGTTTAATAAAAATGCTATAACAGTATATTATATATTTTCAGTTTTTATATCTTCATCTATGATCTTAACATTCCCATTATCATAAAATAACCTCGGAAGAAATTTATCAACCAAGCTGTTTTGTATAGCAGGGATTTTACGATTATAAAGATATTCTATTATATCTGGAACATAAAAAGTATGATTATTATTTAATGGAGATTATTTTAATTACATTATTTTTATGTTTATAATACACCTACCAGGAAAATATGTAGTGTTTAGTTTTTTATTGACTTCTTGTACAAGGTAAATAAATACTTTAGATAAAAACATAGTAGTAACTCCCTCAAAATATTTTGCAACGCTACGCCATATTATTTCTCGAGCATTTGAAATTCCTTTTCCATACATGCTATAATAAAATTATTTCAATGTAATATAATCTTTACATTTAAATATTAAAACTGTATAAAATATATTTTTTGAGATGGAAGTTGGAGATGTTGTTAATATAACTTACTATTCAATTAATTTTATTTTAATATCATTTAAATAAATGGATTCTGGACAATATAATTGCATATGCAGTTGATGAAGCCAAAATTTTCTTAATGTTTCATGGTTTATGTTTAGTTTTTCTTCTAACTTTACCCAAACTGGTTTTGGAATGATAGCATCTTTTAATTCTTTTATATTTTCACATAACATTATATTCATAAGATTTTGTATAAATTTCCCAATTAATTCTAATGTCCACTGGACTTCTAATGCTGTTGGAACAAAATTTACCATTTAGTTTTGTTTATAGCTGAAAAAAAATATACTTACATTTCTTTGTTTCCTTATCCTGCATATTTTTAAGTGTATAGTAACGTAGCCATACTGAATGCCTCTTACGATTTAACATTTTCGCTAGTTTAGCATAATTATTGTGTTTTTTCCGCCTCCAATTTTTTTTCATATAGGATAAAATTATTTCGTCTTCTACTAAACTGTACCTATACAAATGCATGTTATAATTACAATAAATTATAAATGCAAATCAGTAAACGAATAATATAAAAAAGTTATGTTATACCGTGTACAGGATTTTTTATATTTCCCAAATAAATTTTTGAATCTTTGAAGTACACTGTACAATGATCTGCATGGTAACCCATTTGCTAAAAATTGAACAAATTTTTGACGTTCTTCTGAGCTTCTGATACAATATCTATTACCATTTCTAATGCAAATGAATGGCTTTACAATTTTCGAATTCCAATTATGAACCTATTTATAAAATTATTTATTAACAGAACAAAATATATGTATACTAATACCATTGATTAGACATACTTCACAAAATTTTTTCCAATTATTTATGATCGTTTCATCTTCTTGAGGTAAATAACAACCTTTTCTTAATGATGCATATTTTAAAAATAAACTTTTCTCTGCTTTTGTCAATGATTTCGAACCTGCTGAACGTTCTATTTGATGTTGTAGTGGTACATCATGCATTATTTGCACCTTTAAATTGTATAATTCCTACAATAATAAATATTAATGAAATAGTTATTGAATCGTAATGCATAAAAACATTAGAAAGAATCATAAGCATATATTATTTAAGAAACTACCTGCTGAGTACTTTCAGATATCTCTTCGTCTTCTGTATCTGACTTAATGTATAATTTCCCTAATGCAGCTTTTATTCCAATAGGAGTATCACAAAACTTTTTATTATTTAATTTTTTTTGCTCAACAGTTTTTACACGTTTTCTTAAATAAAATCTAGGTTCTGCATTCTCTTTTTCTTGTTCCTCATTTCCATTTTCTATGGTACTATCATGAATATCATTAACATCAATAAATAAAGGATCAACTTGTGGATCTTTAAAGATTTCTATACTCTGCTCATCCTTCACATCATTAGTTGTAGAACATAAGAAATCTGGTATTTTAGTATCTTCAAAATCCATCACAGAGTCTAAATCATGTAACATTTCAATATGTTCCATATCGTGAACATTGTTATCATATAATTCTGTTTTAACTGAATCAGATAATTGATCATATTCAGTTGTGTCATTAATTTTTCTCCTTTTTCTTTTGGAGAATTTATCTTCTTCATAATAACGTTTCTTTTTTCTATTTGGTGTGATTTTAACATTCCTAGGGCTACATCTTACAGGACTGAATATTTCTTTTTTAATATTTGTTGCGTCCATTGATTCATTTAATTCATTGTTTTTTATAGGAGTTTTACATAAATCCTCTATTTTACGGATACTGATTAAACAACTTCTAGTGTTGTTTGTTAATTCATCATTATTATTAGAAGATTCTGATACATTTCTCCTTTTTCTAACATTGCAATTATTTATTTGCAAATTTATATTATCATTTTCTGTTTTAGTAGGTGTCCGTTCATTTTTTATCCTTATGTGATCTGTATTTAGATATGCTTCTTGAGATGTTTGCACATTATTACTTAAGTCATCATTCAATGTATCGTTTATGTCCGTTTTACTTTTTTTAAGTAGTTGCTTCTTTTTTCTATTTGGACTTAACATATCTTTAGTCATATCTGAAAGGTAGTGGTTTATGAATTTTAATTAGTTATAATTACATTTATTAATGTTATGTTATTTAATTTATTTAGAAGAATAAATTATTTTCAAATTTAGGTAGACTTTAAATATTTCATCTACATCAGTTATTTTAATACGATTTTTGGTATCAAGAACTATAAACTAGAATTTTTTGAATAAGAATTCAGTTCATGGATATAAATGTTTAAATGCTAATAAAACGATAATACGAAACAATAGTATTTCTAGAATTTATTTAAAAAACAGTTAATAAATATTAAACTGTTAGCATTAAGTATACAGTAAGTTTTCGGTATAAATTTGTTCGTATAATATCTGCAGCGTAGATAAGGTTATATTTTCCATGAAGAATGTAAATACGCAGGAATTAAACCTGGCCAATAGTTTTTCTATAATATCATTTAAGAAATAATGTTTATAGTTTTTAAAAATACTACGTATATCACGTTTTGTATTATCATTCACACATAATAAATACAGCCAATTTGTTGTATACTGTACTAACCTTTTGACTACAATTATAGAAGAATTTTCAGTTTTGTGTTACTGTTGCGCACATAGATGAAATTTATGACAAAGTATTAAATAAATACTTTGAGTAACTATTGTGTTAACAATAGTTTTAAAAAAAGTGAAAATCGCTTTTCGGATGCATTGTATAGACATAAGTTGCAGAATACGCATTTATGAATTGTCAAACACTGTGGTGTATTTACTGCAGAAAATTATTACTTAATTAATTAAATCATTAGTACTTCATTTACAGGACAAACAGTAACGAAAAATAATTGTAATTGCACTAGCAAAATGTACATATAAATGTGTTCAAGAATTTGAAAACACTGTAAACTTGACGATTAGAACGGAGCGGGAAATCCCAAAGCATATTGCGACTTGAAAGTAATCAAGATTCTCGAGCTAACCCCGAAACATGTTTTGGCAGCCTCGAAAATCCTCAGGAATTCCATCAACTTTTCCATTTCTCAAAATTTTAACTCACTGGGGCATCGATGCAATACAGAACAATATCAAAATAAAATATTATTAGTAGATAACTAAGTACATAATACCACTTATGTATATTTCATACATATTAATTATATTAATATTAATAATCATTATATACATATATAATAATTAATTATATATATATATATATATATATATATATATATATATATATATGTATATATATGTATATATAAGTATATATATTAATTAAATATTAGTAAGAATTGATAATAGTTCTTCATTAACTTGTTCTTACGAAATGCACTCTCCGCTGATGCAGATGCAATTTTAAGGAAATAGAGAATAAGGAGAGAAGATTCCGAACATAACATTTTATCTAATTTTCCAATTTTATCCCTTTGCGGACGGATGTCGGCATTTCGATGAGATGAAATGTTCAGATCTAGAAAACTAAGTCGTGGACAAATGATTTAATTAGTCGAACAGCAAGAGATCAATACGTAACTTTCTTTTTTTCTGTTAATTAAACAATTGATATATAATTTAACTTCATATGTTGAAGGTTTTGTATACTTCGAAGAATCTTCGTCCGCGAAGGGTTAAATTATTTTAACAGTTACAGATAATTAATATAAATACATTTAGAATTAGATTTCACACATAAACTGCATTCATATCTATAGTAAACATTATATCTCATTAATTAAACATCCTAAAATCATTTAAGGGAAGTTGAATTGATAATAGAGATTTCGATAATTCATATACAGCGAAAAACGCTACCTATGTTTATACATATGCAATAATTAATTATTTAACAAAACATTAAACTTCATGTAGTAAACTGAATGGTTGTACCATCTAGTGTTACATAGATGGAACTAAATTGTCCGTATCGCAGGCTTAATTTGTAATGTGCGACAAGGTCGGTATAGTATTTCTGTGTGTTTTATAAGTTATATTTATAAAATATCTCTATGAATTATTTGAATAAAGTGAATAACTGTTGTCAACAACGAGCGTTCAATTTGTAAAATTTACATATGTTCTTCATGAAGACATAAGTAATGGAGGGTTCTTCCTTATCATACTAGTCCATCATAAGGAAGGTATTGGTGGCGTCATTTGCTGGATACCACGGGCTACTAACAGACCACTAGTTTGGAACATTTCTAGATAGGTGGCGCCACTGTTCCAATCTGAAATATCTATCCTTGTCGCACATTAATGTTGTCTTTGTCTTACACATTACGAATATACGAATCGCATTTAACACATCGAATAATCGCAAATAACTCGTTAATTCGACATCAATTACAGCTAAAATTGTCACAGGACTATTTCCGAGGGTCTACTCTAATTTCTTCAAACATAAAAATTCACCAATTGTTTCTACGTAATAAAAAAAGTAATGGCACACTAAGGACCTCTCAAAACATTCTTGGTAAGTTTGATAGAATGTTGTAGATAATCATTAATAAATAATTAACGCGAAATAACATCCTATCGAAAGTGATATGAGAAATCAGAGGGGGGATCATTCTATGATCCTTAATTGCAAATGTTAACGAATCATTCGTGGGAGACGAGTTATTAGTATATTCGTTGCCGAGTTCGTTGTTTTTTTCCATTTTCGTAACGCATCTGGTTCAGAGCTTCTACCACTAGATGGCGCAACTTCATTTCTGTCCTTGTTTTACACCGGAAAACACATAAGTCTGTCCTTGTCGGATACCTCCTTGTCATCATGCTTCACGAGTAGGTACCAGGGATTGATGAGATGCTTCTTCAAAGTTGGTCGCACGCGACACGCTATCTCTGTCTTTGTTGCACAGTCGCTCTGTCCTTGTCTTACTCATTCCGGGGATAGGGAAACGCTCGATATGGCCAGTAAACTTTGCCCCTGACAGCTTGCAACCAGCTTTACGCAGATTGCTGTTTTTTTTGGTTCTGTTAAGTTTAATGCATCAGGATCATGATAATATTTATTATTGTAACAGAAGTACTGATTATATCATGGCAAATAAATATTTATTTTGAGAAGCATATAAGACATGTATGTTTATTAGAAAAAATGAAAGATAAAGGCCTTGCGATTTTTTTCTTGTTGAGTAAGACGAACATGCAAACTCGGAAGGGAGAGAAGAGGAAGTATAGGGAAAAGCCGATCAATGTTTAATAAGCCAAAATGACAAACTTTGGAGTCAGAAATTTCAGTTTTAGATTCCCGACTACATTCCTGTTTGATTTGGCAATTACGCGACTTTTGAAAACTAGATTTTAGAGAAATCCTTTACAGAGAATTTTGTAAACATATGACCGTTATTTAAGTCGATTTATACATAAATCTATAGACCCTTTTTTCAGAAACGTTTTCTCTTTTATTATTTAAACAAGTATATGTATTAAATAAATAGTTCTATTTTCCTTAATTCACTGTAGTAACGTAATATAATACATTTTACTCTTGTGTATCGTATATTTACATCGTACATTTAAAATAGAGTATAATATTCAAAGCAATACTAGACTTTGAATATGTTTGTAAACGAGTAAGTCACTTATGCATGATCAACAGGTGTTATGAAGATAAGAATGTAAAGTTGATAGAAAAATTAATGTTATTAAATCAAATGTGCCACACAGTCGGATTATAACAGTACATATATAACTGTGTCACTTTGTTGCATAAACGTGAGAACGAAAATATTTCTTTTCGTCACAGAAAGTCTCCTGTAGAAACTAGGATATATAACTACTTCGTGTTTCATGAGTTCAAATAGTAGTGTCTGAAATATTCTTTGCAAGAATTGGTACTCGAGATTCCCGTGATCCTCGTCTGTAGTTGCTATCGTTGTTGATCGTTGGCGTAATCCTACGTTGTGTCGTTGATATGTCCCTAAAACAGGCAAAGTCGACATTAGATACAATGCATATAGATTGTATAAAAAATACTTTAATCATTTAACACGTTAAGTGCCATGTCAGTCACCGATGACTGACGCTTACGAATTACTTGAAAACAATCGTAATGCAAGATAATCGATGTCGAATCAAAATGTTTAATAACGTAACTAAGCTAATAATAGTGTAATGCAAAGATTGTGACGCCAAATAGTGAATAATTGTTGCTACTTTTCTTTGCTAAAAAGGATAACTATACAGAAAAATGGTCAAGATTTTCGTGGCGCTTAACGCGTTAATCTAAATAAACAGATGATTCGAGCAAATTCGTTCACGAATGAACTCTATATAACTGTTTATCATAATTTTCACTTCTAGATTGCGCTCCTACAATTGTGCCAGAAAAATATGGAAGACCCTGTATATATTTAAAGATTGAGGTACAATTGAGTTATAAAATCCGGCGTCCATTTATCATAGATACCTTCTAGTTTCAAAATTCTCGACAGATTCTTAGGCACTGACACGTTTACTTGTCTGATTAATTAAAACAGACATTGTTCGAATCTTTTATAATGTACCTGTGATAGGAATTCTGGCGTTTCTTTTTAGGCCAAAGATGAAACGCGCCATATATTAATGGATTTACTAGACTGTTGCTCATACCAAAGAAGAAGATTCCACCTCGTAAATCATTACTGAGCTGAAAGAATATGAACATATTCATGGAATTTACTGTACATGATACGTTATAAGTATTAACCCTTTGCACTCGAGAAGTGACTCTCACTCATCACCTGATTTCGTACAGTAAATCTATAAAATTCGATATTTAATATTATACCTCGTATAACTCATCAATTTAAAAAGTATTGAAATAAAATAGCTGTTTCCTCAATGTACGTATAATTTCTCTTCGAGTTGGTTTCACAAAATATCGTCTTTCTCTCACCAGAAAATGTTAAAATATCTCTAATGAAAAACTTCCCAGTGCAAAGGGTTAATGCAATGCATATGTACATAAGGTGGGATACTTGAATCAGAGTACCTAAGTAACTTGACTGTTATTTAAGGTAGAAGGTATTTTACTCAATATACACTATAACGTCACATGTCCCGGGTTCCCAGCAACTGAGGGTTTATAGGATGTATATGTTACGGGCAATGAGTTTAATGTGGGCATTTTGTAAAATGACCGGGTATTGTATAGACTGTTCGTTCGAAAAGACATCGTGCAAAATGCCCGTAACAAGTTTCGGTCAATCTATAAAATGTCTAGTCATTATACAGAATGCGGCAATATACCCCTTGGTAAAAATCAACATACAGTCATTATAATCATACTTAATCATAAGGATCATTTATTGGAGCAAGACAAAGAACTGTGGCACTGTAACCAAGACCTAACCAAGACCTAACCAAGACCTAACCGTGGGCATTATATAAAATGTTCGGGTCATTTGTGAAATAACTGCCCATCATGTACATTGCCCAAATAATTGGACATTCTACACAATACCCGGTTATTTTACAAAATGCCCACGTTAAACGCATTACCCGTAACATGTATAGTAATTGGGATAGTTAACATCTCTGTGGAATGCGGCTTTAGACGCAAAAGCATTGATAATGGTATAATGGGAATAGTGTTGAATGAATGAACAGCAAAAATTATGTACTTACATGTTCGTCGGGATCGAGGAACATAAAAATGATCATCATGACATAGTAAGGAGTCCACCAAATGATAAAGGCAGCTACAATCACGATACTCAGTCTTAATGACTTTGCTTTTGCTCGATGCATCAATTTTTTTCTGTTTAAATCTTCGTGCATATGGTACTCACTATTGCTATTCACTCCTGGTTTAAAACTTTTTTCGTTTTCTGAAATTATTTAATTTTCTTTTTATTTAGATTATTGTATAGAGTGTTTGGTTACAGCTGGGATGAATTTTAAGTATAAGTACTCTTACGTAAAAAAGGGAATAAAAATTAAAGAATATGAATGTTCACAAATACGTGACACCCATAGGTGCTTCATTCAAATTTATAATTTGGGCTTCCATGTGACGATTTTTAAAAAACTTATATCAAAATTGTTGAGTAATATTAGCCTTTTTACACTGTAATAATTCATCGTTATCGTTTTTTATTACTCGTTATGAAATAACAATGACTATGTTACGATTTACATCAATCTATCGATGGTTTAATTAATTAAAACATCCAATTTGTATTTTATCTTAAGCTTAAGAACTGTTAAAATTGTTAGCATTTATTGTCTTTAATAAGAATATTTTCTTATTGATTCGTATGTACTATTTTTCATCATTTTCGCTAAAAGTGCCCCTTCAAAAATCAAATTTTGCAGCTAAAGGAACATTCACATGAAAATTGATTTCTCAAAAATGTTGTTATTTTGTATTTTTCAATATTCTCCTTCTATCATCACATGCGATACTCTCAGATTAAGATTAAGAGTCTCCTCAGATTTTTGATGCTGTCAAGTGCTATGACTTTATATTAATTAAATATTGTCACTTAAAGTACTTCCGTACATCATCGAAATAGAAAATAACGAACCTGCAAGTTTTAAAATGATACGTTCAACGATCTCCTTAAACATATTTCCAAGTAAATATGATATGATATGATATTCGTAAAATCGTTAATTATGATATTCGACTGGTTAAATCAAATACCTCTTTCACACTTTTCTGCGCGTGTGTAAGAGTAAGAAAAATATGAAAGCAATCGAGGTATACGAAATATTTTGCTCTAACAATGTTATAAAAAACCAAATGAATGACCAGCAATTCTGTAGTAAATACGCAGCAGAAATTCGTATGCAATAATGTATACTTACGGGCGATTGTAATCACTGTAGAAACATAGGTTGTTACAAGAATAATTAAAGGAAGAATGAACATGAAAACTAAACTAAGAGATACATAAAGTTTTTCTTGCCAGGGTTTTGTATAGAAACCATGGGTTACGCATTGTAAGAATTCTTCAATAAATGGACCCTTGGCTACATGGAATACAATAACCTGTAAATTAAAGAAGACACAATTTCCATTTCAATCTAATAAAACATACACGAATTAGAAGGTTCGCTCGGCGGGGTCTTAACACTATTTCTACCGAAGGTGTCAAAAGATACCTTTTGAAGTTTTAACTTAATTTTAAGTTTTCTCAGTTTAATAATTTGTCTTCAATTGAATTTCGGACATTTCTTGCAGTTGATTTTATCGTTAAGTAGTTATTATGTTATTATTATAATTTCATCATTATTATTATGTTATTATTATACTTTAATCATTATTATTATGTTATTATTATAGTTGAATCTTTATTGGAAAAGTCGAAAAGTCAATTCAGAATATACGACTAAACTCGGAAAATAATTTTAAGATAAAATTTCACAAGGTGCCATTTGACACCTTCGATAGAAATAGTGTTAATGACAGAAATGTTGATTGATCTGAATATTAAAAGTGGGGCTACAGTTTTGTTCGATGAAAGGTAAGGAAAAAGCTGTGTCTCTGTTAATTTGAATACAGAAATTCTCTGACCATCGAAAAGTCAGCTGCTGTTTCGATATACCGGTATCGAACACCTCAAAATCATCGTTCATTTGTAAATGTCGATGCTCGTTCGTTGATTATTTTCGTGACGCAAGGAAATTTTGGCTTACTGCAACGGAAAATTCTTAGTATTCAATGTTAAATAATATAATATCTCTAAATTGTCAATTGAAGATTATAATTCAACTCAATGAAAAGTGTTTGCAGTAGCAAAACGCGCATGCGTCGTCTGTGCCTCAACTCGTTCACTTCGTCATTAAGGTACAGTTTAAAAATGTCATGAATATTCCATAATTTTATATTTTTATTTGTAATCTATGTAAATTGTGTGATAAGATTTACTTTTAGCTTACTCAAAATGTTCTTTTCCTCAAATTCTTTCGAATTTACTCATTATTCCCAAGGTGAAGCAAGTATTGTTAGACCTATTTATTAAATTACGACGATAAAAACTATAAATAATGAAACTTGTAGTTATTTTCAAGATTCTATATTTGATCGAATTTTTCCAAGATCACACTCCTTGCAACCATGGTGAGTGACTCGGGTAAAACTCTTGCGCTGGTGGTCTCAACGATTAAAAATCTTTGTGAAACAAAAGGCTCCACGACACGAGAAATCTTACGATATATTTCATCTGTGTACAACATTTCAACCCAAGTTGCACGTCGACAAGTACGTTTTGCCAAACTTAACAGGCTGAATGCCGCACGATTTCATAGAGTAAAATACACAAAACGGGAAGAATTTAATATTAAATCATTCGATTGAAGTGCATTATTATTATTGCATATTCATCGAGCTGAATGTCGCCGCAATAGCTGCTAGCATTATTTGTAATATAGAAATGTTTCTAGATAATTATCGTTTAATTGAATATTGAATTGAGACTATTGTAATTCGATTTGGTCGGTGGTCACCGGCGACCCCCATGGCATCCAATGTGTTAAATACCACAGAATACACGTATTTTTAGTATTCTGAGTTTTATACTGTATTCTCATTTATATTTACCTAAGTTTAACAATACAATGTGACATTGTTAAATACTACAGAATATTTTTAGCATTCTGAGTACAGTTTCATTTATATTTATCTAAGTTTAACAATACAATAAGTTATTGCACAGAAACAGACACTTCTTTTTGTGCTGTATGATCTTTATAGGACGCGCGAATAAAAAAGTTTGCAAGTAAAGTGTCTTTTTTTCAAAACAGTTGCAAACAGCGTTAAAACGAGGCGTGGCATGCGGTATTTTGAAGAAGAATGGCGGCCATTACATTGTGCCGATTAGCGGAGGCGCGAACAGCGGAGAAATTGCTTCACAGGAGATCAGTTTGCTGGACTTCTGCCGTAGGAAACGTTCGCGAAAATCAGCTTGCAAGTGTAAGAAACGGGAGAAACGGCGGCGATCTCGGCGAAGCAAGCGAAAGGAAAGTTGCAAATGCAAGAGGAAAAGATCAGGAAGAAGCAGAAAAAGGAGAAGCCGAAGAGGAAGCATGTGTAGACCGCGTAGGAAAAGGAAATGTCGATGTGGTGGTCTAGGGAGTAAACGTGATCGGAATCGAATGAAAAGGGCTGTAGCAGAGCAAATGTCCGAAAACACGGCAAATGATGAATCCTTCGAACTACCGATTAAGGTCAACAATGACAGACCCAGCGACTGCGGTTCTGTGTCAACTGTTTCTACAACGGTAGAAGAAAACTAAGTTGAGGCAATTGTACATTGAAATAGTATAGAAGAGTATATGTTTTAACACTGTTTCTACCGAAGGTGTCAAAAGACTTTCAAAATTATAATCTAAAATTATGTTCCCAATTTAGTCGTATATTCTGAATTGACTTTTCGACTTTGCTAATAACGATTATGAAATCAACTTTAGAAATTGTCCAAAATTCTATTGAGGAACAATGATTAAACTAAGAAAATGATTTTACGATAAATTTCAAAAGGTGTCTTTTGACACTTTCGGTAGGAATAGCGTTAAAAATATCAGAGCAAAGATTAATCTCGATTTGGAGAAAGACTCTAGGTCATAATCAAGGTTAACACCAAAATTCGTGACTTTTAAATGTTATTATTTCATACTAAGTATGAAAGTTTTCGAGCGATTTCGTTGATACATTTTTATGGTCTACTAATGAATATTACTTTGTGTTCAAATGTATTGTAGAAGAGGTATGCTAAGAAATGCAGTTATTCCTTCTGTGTTAATTACACATTTTAAATGTATCTCGGTTTACAGCATTATCAGTGTATTCAGCACTTGTTTTATTACAAGACAATGGTACGGTATATCGAAGTAGGTTTTTGCATTTTTTATTTCTACTTTGTTAACGTTTTTCATGGCTATCGTTATTGTATACTCAACAGAAGTTTTAGATCTTTATGTACACTGGTAAATGGAGAGAAGGCAAGATTGTTTTTGCAACTGTGTACAATCATTATGATTAGTGTACGATTTTTTTATTTTAAATTATAAATAATAAAGATTCCCTGTATTAATTACTGACTTTGTCGAAAATTATTTGTATTTACATGACATTGCAGCATTTGGTGCGAGAACTAAAAATACTTAGAAAAAATTAATGTCTTTTAAAATATAAAGATTAATTATGATTTTGTTCAATTATTTTATATTTTTAGTTTTAATGTAAAAAATGAACAGCTAAAACCATATGGAATAATCGATAAGGTAAGCATTGTCACAGTGATTAAATCCGTATATTGACAATGAGAAGAGCATTCACTTTTTCAGTCAAAATATGTTATGGTAGTAATTAACGTGTTCTATAAACTTCCGTAAATATATGTATTCACATACATGTTTAATATCGTGTAATAATTTGGATGTAAACTTTTTAAAAATTGTTTCTATGGAGTCCCAGATTATAATTCTGATATAAATCTCTTTATTCAAGGTAGATCACCGACTGTGCTTCCGCTGACGTGACTAACTCATAGTTTTCCAATCATTAATTAAAAATAAAGCTTTAGCTCCCAAGAACCTGACAAATCCGATGAAATTGACATTTTACAAATAAATTAATTTCGCATAAAAACAACGTTGGCGAGAGATATTATTCGCGACGCAGAGATTAAGATGCAAAATTTTGCAAAAAACTGTTTCATCATTTCAGCGTCGCTCCTTAAAAAATGTTATATTTTTCACAGACATTTTGACACATTAACTGTATATTAAATAATATTTCGTAAAACATAAAATTCTTATAACTTCACGTCCTGTCGCTCGCGAATACCTTCCGCTAACTAAGCTGAAGCATAAAATTTTAGTGATCGAAGTCCTCGTATCGTCCTGTGATCACAAAACGTAACGCGAGAAGTATAAACGCACCGTGGCGTGAACTTATGGGACGATCTACTAGAAAGTATCTTATAAAAATGCCTTAAAAAGCTTACCTGAGGGGCTGCTAGGATGAAAGATAATATCCAGATCACGATAATTAGCTTGGAGCATCTGTGAGACGTGTTCAGTCCTTTCATGGGATATCTTATGGCAATGAAGCGGTCTGTGCCGATCAGCACTAGTACGAACGTGCTTAGGTACAGGCTGAAGACTTGCAAGAATTTGAAAATTTTACACGCAACGTTTCCCCAGATCCAGGCTACCGCGTAGCTCCACATTGCTTCTCCGCCTATACAGAACACAGTGACCAACAGATCAGCTACAGCCAGATGTAATATCAGTGTGTAAATTGCGGACCAGCTATGCTGGCGGCGGTGATTTCTTGCGACCGAGTAGATCGTTGCTATGTTCGCCAGGAAACTGAGGATTCCCATGATTGATAGAACGATAACCTTGAACACGGTTCCTCTTGTTAATTGTGGCGCGTGTTCCAAGCACGTCGAGTTATTTAGCTGACTGGAATGAAGTAGATGATCGAATTCGCTGATGTTATGCCATGCCCGAGAATCCAAGGCGAGATCGAGACCACGGGAATGACCGACGAAGTTGGTCAGATTGTCACAGGCTGGTAGAGTGGTCATTGCTATGTTCTCTGCCAATTCGTTAACGGCTGTCATCGTGGAATTTCTTTTGATTCATTCCTCCCACTTGTCATATTTTTGATAGGTCTTCTTATTCAGCATAGTCCTATTTTTCAAATGTACAGTGTTCACTGCAGGGCGTTTTATAAATGCGCGTCCATCTGTAGGTGAATATCCACATGAAAGTAAGTAGCAAATGAGTTTATGTCCTGTGTTTAAATATTTTAACACGTTGAGTGCCATGGGGATCACCGGTGATCCCTAACCAAATCGAATTACTACAGTTCATCCAATTAAACGATGATTACTTGAAAACATATCTGTATTATAAATAATGATACCTATCGCGATGTCATTCAGCTCGATCAACGTGCAATAATATGCAACGTACAATGCAATTCAAACGAATGATTTAATATTATATTCTTTCCATTTTGCGTATTTCGCTCTACGAAATCGTGCGGCATTCAACGTGTTAAAGATTCATATAAGTACAAAGTTGCTTTTTTTATGTGTGGCTTCACTACCTGGAGTATGGGCAACTATTTATGAATCACATTATATATAAATATAGCAGTGAATTATGGTTTGTCCATGCAAAGATTTAAGCAAATAGAACGAAGTACAGTACACTCATTTGAAGCAGACAAATTTAAAAATTAAATAGATGAGGTTTAGTTAAGCATTACATTGTTTTTCCTGTTTTACTAATTCTTTTATTTATCATAAAACATTAAAAGTTTTTCATAAAACATTATTCTACGTTCTGCCGGCATCGTAGAGGGTGATACGATAATGGTAAAACGCTTTATCGTGAAATTTAGTAGCTTAACTTTGGAATTGCCAAAAATCTTTCTCGCAAACGTTTCCCTTATAAAAAAGGAAGCCGTAGGAGAAGAAATGAATCGAATTGGAGCATAAAAGCTTTCGAAGTTACAGAGAGTGACGCTAAAACGGTAAAACACTTTTCTACTAAGTTTTGGAACTTAACTTTCGAATTGCCAAAAATCCTTCTCGTAGACATTGTTTTTATGCGAAATGAAGGTGTTCGTGAAATTTCAGTCTGATCGGATTTGACAGATTTCCGAAAGTTTGGCCAGTTATCCTTCTTTCTCTTGTAACAGCGTTATGTAGTTCACTAGGTGACCATTTGAATCAAGTAGAGTACGCTAGAGTACTTCCAATGATGTTGAAGAATAAATGGAAAATCCCATCTATTACATACCCAATAAATAATGTAAATATATGTATTGATATATATGATAATTCATGTAATTGGGCGAGAGATAATTTTTTTCTTGGATGCGATTATAAGGAAGCATTACGTGTTTTATGTGTCTGTGCAAATTTAAAATATTACGAGTCATTCATTTTCAGTTCTGTAATTTTAATTTTTATCTTTTATTGACGTTGACAGACAAGAAGAGTCGATGTCGAGCTATTTAAAAAAATTCAAAAATGACAAATGTGAGTATGTCAGAACAAAAGAAGTGAAATCTGTATTATCAGAAATTTTAATGACCGTCATTATATGTTAAGTAGACCACGTTTCCGTAGCAGCTAATCATTCGCTGTGACAATCGACTTGATTATTACAGCAGTTTTCTTTAAATCGAAGGGATAAATAATAATTCAAATATAGATTGACAACACTGATCTTTTATTTTTTTTTTAACTGATAGTATACTGTTTTCCAATTAATATTCGATTTTGTTTTACAGTGTCGCGAGTCGCAGATATTTTGCAACTAACGAGATTATAAACGGCGATTCATTTAACTCGACTTATTCGAATATTTTGGAAGTTGAAAGAATGTTTTAGGCAAAAGTTGAATGGTTTGAAAGAACATATTGCATGACGTGTATGGTTTTATGCTATGTAAGTCAACTTTATCCTTTTTTAAGTGGAATCGTGTAAGTATATATTCTTTAATGCACTAATCAATACAATTAGTCATTCTTTACAATTAAAACGCTAGTCACTTATAAGAAAAACTCAGCACGTTGGTATTTCTTTAAAACTGGTATGCAAGAGGTATGTCATTCAATTCGAATGTAGACATTTTCTCGATTCCTGAACGATCTATCAATTTTTCCTAGCAATTCCATAGAAATTGATTGATCCGTATGAAAAATATTTTATTTTGGAATACATAGATTTTTTCATTCTTCCGTGTAAATTCTATTTTTAAGTCCTTCATTGAAAAACCTAAGAAAGTTAAATTTGGATATTTGACCGAAGTTCAGGTATAATTCGCTCCATCCGGTTTGGAAATATTTCGTTTAGTATGGTTTGAGATATACTGCGGTAATGAGCGGAAGCATCATCGTAATCAAACAAAAAATTCTCCAGACGTGCAAAAAGTGTATTACAGAAAGGTGATGTATCATGTAGAGATTAAATCTCTAGGTTTAGGTTGAAGAAGGTTTTTTTGGAGACCAACTGTAGAACACGAACTGTTGACCTTCGCATGTTCCCTGCGTGTTGATATAGGAAAAATTAATGTACATAAAATAATGTGTACCCAAAACCATTTAACTTTTATCAGATACATTTTGCGATAGGTATTATCAGTAGTTTCTACGATATTCGGTTCTGACAATTTACACGGGTCACCATGTATAAAACGGTCTGTGTAAGTTTAAACGAATTCAAAACCTTCAGTTTCGTTATCAGTAAAAAGTGTACAACTTTGTAACGTTGAAATTGCAAACTACCTGAGTATTGTAAGTTTTCACCTGTTAACTGTGGAGTTTAGTTTCAAAAATTTCACGTTTAAAATAGAAGAATGCGCCTGTAATACATTTGAATGAGAAACCAAAGTAAAAGAAAGAAGAAGCAGATGTTTATCTGAAAAATAAATAATTCATCGTTGAATGAATTATTTATCTTTTAGAGTATCGTTTCAGGCTTCAAGACAACGTACACATTCGTCAAACGTAATTAACCGGTTAAGTGCTATGTCTGTTTTTGGGAACAGTTTGATAAGGAAACGAAAATGAAAGTAAAATATGACAAAATAAAGCATTCGCATAGGAAGCAACGAAGCGCTCGAATGAAGATTGCGATTATCTAAAGTATATTGTCCTAGCTGGTGTATTAATTACACCGTCAGGCTCATTAAACGACTGGTAATCGTTTGAAGCGATTCATCCGCTCGTGTATTAATTAATCGAAAACTACCGGCAAGTTCGCGACGAAGAAACTCATTTTCACGTTAAATACAGGCGTCGCATCGCGACGATTCAGCAGAAATGACACGATCTGTGTTCTACTTTTCCATTCGGTTCGAACTTGTTCAGGCAAAAACAGATTGACTCTGCGGATATATAGCAGCCTCCAAACAACTTCTTGCTCTAAGTGATATACGTAGTATTCGCTTCTTTCAAAGGTTATAATTATTACTAGGTCTCCTGACTACGGAGACGTAGCAATTAATCTACCGATAAGTATTTTTAAAATTAAGAAATGTTAATCAATTTTTCAGCGGCGAACTGTGAACGAGAAGAATTTGTATAGCTGTTTTTTCATTTCTTTCGTTTAACTTTATGTATATTCCTGTATCGTTCGATTAATTAATTCTTCAATTATTGTCTGTCTTCTGTTTATATTTTCACTAAGAAAACTTATTGTGTATTATGATATAAACCAATTATACCATAATGATGAGGAATACTTATACAAATTAAGTCCAATTTATTTACATTTATTTCGTAACCAGTTATTCGATTGGTTACTTTAAGAATAGGCGTATAGGCACTGCAATTGAGTTTTATTTAAAGTGAAACTCCATGTTTCTTTCTTCAGATAAATAGTTTGTTTCCATTAGTTCACGTAAGAATAGTTTAAGGTATTATCATTGGGAACTGACTATTATTCGAGATATTTTACTTTGAATATTCAGTGTTGTACGAATATTTTGCCATATTCGAATATATGCCATATTTGCTATATTCGAATATACCCTGCTACCTTGTTTACCAACAAGCGGTGTTTCAGTGGATGGTCCAAGTTTTTAACTAAACAATTAGCAGAAATTATATTCAATCGTAAATTATTATTCCCTCGTAGTCAACTGAAATCCCCTTGCTTTTATGGATTTACATAATTAACCTTTCTCATGAAACTCTAATTGATTATTTACCTCACACGGTGTTACGATTGTTTCTCTCTTTAATGTATAAAGCAAAAGATCAATGAATTATATAATATAGTGTAATAGAAATCACGAAGTTGTGTTTTTACACTGTTGTATATACCTTATGCTAAAAACAACATTCTCCGAATAATCTTTAACGTGGAGCTTAATTTTAAGTCGCTGTTCATTAGAGTATCTATTTCTTTCGGTTTTAGAAGACAAAAGATTTCAATTATAGTTAACAAAAAGCGACAAAAATTAAATTACTCCTTATTATTAGTGACTCATATTTATACATTCTACAAGTGTAATTACACGTGATCTTATTTTAATAAAATCCATGCATTTTTTAGGATAAACTAGTTTTGTTATTTTAGGCTCACTTTTGATTTCACATAAACAGAATATGCGATATCATTATGAGATACATAAAAATACAATCGTTTAAAAATACTTCTTATTAACATATAAAAGTGTTTACGTGACACGTTTATTATTGAGATTGTTGACCCTTCCTCGCGTTCGAGTTAATTCAGTATAAAACACTGCGTGCCTTTTAACTAAATTATAATGAAAATTACATTCAGTCCGTTGTCATATATCGACTTCCTCGGACATTTTACCGCGCGACTTATTTGTTATTATATTAATATATCCAATGTGTCTGTAGATATATTCTGCACCTCAAACCTTTACATTAATTGAGTCGTTCACAGGCCGACGTGGTTAACTCCACTTTCTTAACGTTTCGAAATTCGAATGCTAAAATATTTCGTTAATTATTAATCTACGTAATTTCATCAAATACTTCTGTATTCTATTTCGTAGAGTTAATTACCCTGGCGAATGAACGGCTTTGTTATATTTGTTAACCTTGACCGTGCACTAGGGTCTTTTTCGATCCAAATCGAGCTTAACTTCTGCTGTAACCGTTTCCAAAGGGCGGGTGAAAGTTAATAAATATTTTTAAAACAGAATGTTTCATGAGATAACGAATAAAGTGCTGTCAACAAATGAAATAAATAACTTTGTTATAGAGATTATTTACCTTACGTTCATAATGACATCCATCAATTCGAATCGAATGAAATAACTTATTAGCACTTTATACAAATTGTTCTTCTTTGCATGTTTTAAAAATCTCAAAAGATTGCTTCATCAGTTGACTTTCTTCCGTCGTTACTCCATTTTTTATCCGATCGCACGATAACGTTTTGTGTCCGAAAGTGATGGAAACTAAAAGCACCGCACGTTTATTGGAGACTATTTTTTAATAGAACACATTGATAGAACGTAGAAACAATTTATACGATTGATATCACTTTTTTCGTTAATGGAACGAGTTATCAAATATTATTTAAGGGATTGTAATTTTCAAGCACAAGCATGACTTTTGTGCGGCAATTCGATCGGAGCGCGGAAATCGACTGACGATGAGACTAACCGAAGGCGACATCAACAGTATCTGCCACTGTTTTCCTACTCATTCTGAGGCCTTGTCTTCTTGCTTGTTTGCGTTGCAAAGTACGAGTTGGTTTTTCTTTTCTTTCATATCTCCACTGTACATTACAATTTGTCCAGGATGAACATTTGGTAAATTGTTTTAGTAGTATTTGGGGGTGTAGCGCTTAGATGCTGTCTCAGCAGAATGCATCTAAATAGTAATCGCCCCTGCTTAATCTTCTAGGAAGATCTTCTGAGTATAACTTATTTGCTACGTCACTTAGGTGACTTTATAGTCTTGTTTTATGTCTGTCTATATCTGTGCATTAGATTTTTCTCGTCAATTATCTTCTTCATTCTATCCAGTATTATTTTTTCAAGTATTTTCGACAGCAAAGGAAGAAGCGAGATCGGTCGATATGATAATGGTACATGAGGGTCCTCTTTTGGTTTCGGTAACGTAATAACTTGTGCTATATTCCAGATGGCAGGGAAGTATTTAATTCTTAGTGCTGCATTAAAAATTATCATGAGTATTCTCAATGCTTTTAATGGATGTTCCTTCAGAATTTTCTCTGATAAGTTTAGTGACGTCTCTTACCGCGATTGGTGTAATATTTTGAATGAAGTACGACTCTTTTGAAGATTGTCGGGTTTCATTGGAAATGACTACGTTGCTATTACTTGTATTTAGTTTAAAAGTGTCTTAAAGATATTCGAAAACGTTTGCCTTTTCGAGAGAACTCCTAGCCCAGTTGGAGGTAACCTTCTTTATAGCAGATACAGCAATGATTGGTCTTTTCAATCTTTCGACTGCTTTCCAGAGTGAATAATTCGTATTCTCGTTTCGTGAGAGATTTATTATATAGTCCTGAAATTTTTCGTTGCAGTGATTTTGTATTAGTCGCTTCACTTCTTTGGTAATGGCGTTTAATCTTCTCTTGTTGAGCTGTGTTTTCTGTTTTTGCCATATGCTTTTAATTTTACGCTTCAGTTTGATTTCCTGCATTATATAATTCGGATAAGAGAGGAATTTTCTGTTATTTTATACTTAACTGGTAGCGTTTCAGCATGCTCCTTGAATTCTGTCGGTGAAGCTCATTACTACTGTGTCTACTTGTTCGGATTTTAAGGGTATATTATAATTTATGTTGGTTTCTATATATTTTTTAAACTGAGTTCAGTTGCTACTGCTATTGTATATGTATACTGTTTCGTTTGTACGTGTTGATTTGGATACATAATTAATGAGGATCGGAAAATGGTCAGAGATAAAATCTAAACAAGATTGGACTTCGAACTGATATTTATGCAGTCCTTTGATTATTGCAAAGTCTAGTAGGTCTGGAGTTTTTTTTGTGTGTCGTCGATCAGTATGTTGGTTCACCAGTTGTAATTGTATCTAATGGAAGTTTTTGTATTGCATGTTCTAAGATTTTGCCTCGTGGTGAATCATTTTTTGGAGCCTCATAGGTTATGCATTATAATCGCCGCCAGCGATAAATTTGTTCCCCAATGAATTGGAAAACTTTCATATTGTTATACACATATTTTTTTATTTGAAGGACTGTAGATAGCTGACATTGTGATATTTCCTTGAGCAGCGTTTATGTTTACGGTGGTAGTTTGTATGTGTGTATCGGCGATCGGGCATTGAGCAAAGTATTTAATATCCTGTTGAATGATTATCGCTGATTATTATAACATGGAATTTTAAAAATAATTCCAACTCTTGTAACCCTTGTTGTAACCTATTCGCATTCCAAATTACCATTTTCAATGTGTCCATTGTTATTTATTGTCATTGTTTAGCATGCATGTGGAAAGTTCTATTATTTTATTAATTTGTCGTAATTGTTGAGTTAATAGTTGAGTTTCGTGTAGGAGCGTATTAGTTATTAGTTCTGTATTTTTGGCTAACGTTATTAGTAGCTTTCTTATTTCTGACATGTTAAACGCTGATTCATCGTTTACAGTGGGTAAAACTGTTTCTTTCTTTCTGTGAATTCTAATTACTCGAGCGTACGTCTTATTCATTTCTGTATTATAGTGCGTCCTTGCGAAACTGTTGTTATCATTTGAAGTCACAGTTCGGTTTGGAGAATTTGAATTATCTGCAATTGATTTACGAGTTGGTAATTCGACTGTGTGTACATAAATAACGAATTTAAAAATCGATTCTACATATTGGAGTTTGATTCAATCAATGATCGTTAACGTTCATTTCTATTCGAGTTTAAACGCTGTTATTGTAACGACTTACATATATACAAGTGATGTTTATTCACGTTCGAATTACCTTTACTTTTAAATACGTACTTGATGCAAATTTCCGAATTTACCATTTTCAAAAAGATAAAATTCAAATATTTCCCGATAATTGCATTTCAGGAAATACCCGATAATTGAAATGAAGAAATATAGTAACCTTCTAATTACATCAGTTCTCGTATCTCACAAGAGTTTCTAATAGTATTCAGCGATTGTCGTGTTAAACGTTGTCGTAAAATATAGTGAATGTAGTGAATGCTTCTAAAAATATATCATTTAACTTTTAAGTGTACATGTAAATTCAGTCTTTAACTATGGAAGTCTGGAAATGATCGATTAACGTTAAATATTCTCTTTGTAACTACTAATAAACAAGTTCACTGTATTTATTCGTTTTCAATTATTTAAATACCTCCATATAGCAATAATATCAACTATACAACGAGAATTTCACTGGTTTCAGAATTCATGATATTTTGTATAGAGATCTGTGAGATTACACCTCCATATTTAACACTAAACCTACCAGATGCTTCAAAACGACCCATTCCTGATTTCTTCTTTTTGCAATTATTAAAAAGATAACAGATATTTCTCTGAGAAATGATTCAAGAAATTGATTTAGCAATACACAAACTGAACGGTAAATCAATTAAAGTCTCGATAGATGTACTCTTGAAGTTGCTATAGAAGAATTTTGAAAAGTCAATTTAACTGCTCGGTAGGTTTAGTGTTAAGGGCTGAAGAAACGCGAAGCTCTCTATATACGTATACAAGGTGTCCCTAAAATCTATGAAAAGAAGTCTGATTCCATTAATGTAAACCGAAGAGTGATGAATCACTTTTTCAAATTGAGCCATTGTTCCAGCGATATTAACATTACTAAAAATGGAAAAATGTATTTGCGAAGCGAGCTGTTTAGGTGGGATATCCACTTAACTTGCAACTAGCACGCCTGAGACAAACGTGACTTGAAACATCGTAGCATTTGCACACACTACTATATTCATGCCACGTCATCCCTTTGCCACTTGCCTGGTCCTAGAGGTAAGATTCGCTACTGGGCTTCACGTGAATTTTTTTACTGCTGATTTAGACCATGTTATTACCTGAAGTGTAACCCGTTTAGATTCAGTTTTGTTGAATAAACATTGTCAAACGATTGATAAACACATTCTGATTTTCTTCGTAGTAGATATATTGACTTGTAAATGTCAGCAAGCAATGTACAAAGTTCAAAATTATCTCACCGCAGTCGTAGCATGATTCTGCACCTCTAAATTAGTGCAGATTTCTCGAAGAACCTTGGAAAATTGATTTTAACTTTGAATTTCAAGATTAAACTTGTTTATTGTTGCGTCTTATCCTACTCGCCGAGAGGATAAAACATTTAAAAAGAACCAAGCGTCGGAACTCAATGGTTTTTTGAAAAACGATGTCAGGTTGATAATTATTCATTGCAAATATTTCTTTCTGATTTGAACGACCCTGAAATGTATCATTCAGATCATTATACTGGACAACTTTTCTCTTTACATATTACTACCGATTGATCTTGGTTTCCCAGATATTTGGAAAAATATTTTTGGGGTTAGGACCTGCACCCTCTCCCCAAGGATCTAACCGAAACCTAAGTTAACACGTTCGTGACTGCGCGTCACATATGTGTGACACAGCAATTCGTTTAGAGAGTCCAACGTTATTCATGTGTGACGTTGTCGATTACTGTTGCTACGATGATATTAACACATTGAATGCCATGAGGGTCACCGATGATTTCCAACCGAATCAAATTAGTATAATTCGCTCAATTAAACGGTGACTATTTGAAAATATTCCTATATTGCGAATAATATCGTCTAATGCGGTGACGTTAGACAAGATGAACGTGCAATAACAAAAACGATAATCAATTAAATAGTTTAATATTATAACTTTTCTTATTTCGTGTATTTTGCTGAATGAAATTGTGCGGCGTTCAATGTCTGAACATATATTTAACATATGGTATACCATATTGTCGCTTCGGCAACATCAAAATATCAGACATGTACGTCATTTATGTACAATGCTTTCTTTGGTTGATTTATTATGTTTTGCACGTGTAAAACTTATATGAATGACGTATCACGTGAAACAATTGCAAGAAAGACACAGTATTATATATTTTTGAAAAACGATTTCAAAGTTTGATAATTATTAAATAATTTTTATAACATTTCATAATATTTTTGCAGTTCAATAATTATTCACTGCAAAAATATATACATTTGCAGTAAATAATTATCGAATCTAGACATCGTTTTCGAAAACATCATTGAGTTCATAGAACCGTATATACGATAATTCCGGATGAGATGGCGTGACCTTATTTACATTGTTAAATATTCAGATTTTCCATTGTTTTTAATCGCTTGAATCTTGCATAGACGTCTATTTAACTATTCTTCTTATATGTACTTACTTTCACAAATGTATTTTCTTTTTGTTAGGTATTAATGGTCTTTCTGATGTAACAGTTCCTTGAAAAATAGCGAGCCACATGACAACCCTATATTTCATTGAAATGGAACATAATGTTAATAAATAAAGCGTTCAATTTCATTTGCTGTCCTTTATTTACATTTCCTGGGAACCTTGTGAACGTCTCACGTATTGCAATGTGGCCTTTGATATCGACTATGTTCTGAGAGAGGTCAAACTCAATGATTTACACGAGCACGT